TATGGTCTCACCCTATAGCTCAAAAGGACAACCCTATCAGAAACCTGCATAGTATGTGAAACACACTCACAAGAGGTTCACTGGTTGTGTTACTATTTCTTAGATTGGAAGCCCTTATAAAGCACAGACTGTATCATTTTAACTTTATAAATTCATTTTGAAGCTCAGTGCCTGACATCTTGTTGGAAGTTAATATTTATTTATTGAGTGATTATTTAAAAAATCATGACTCACTCCATAAAATTATAAGCTTAAGGATGGTGCCGCAGGATTGGTACACAGAAGCTGACCATCATGAATACACTTTTGAGAGTGCTAGAGTGTTAAACGAGATGGGACACTGGGACAACATACACAGTGTGGGACTGTCTCGGGCAAACTGGGATGGAGGTTGTTGTAGGTATCAAGCTCAGTACTGTTGTTCCACAATCCAAAACTCCAACTGTCAAATGTCAGGGGCACAGCAAGGTCACTTGGGCTGTCATCAAGTGCTTCTCTTTGGGCTCTCATCAACCCTGCCCCTTGATTGTCTCCACCCACCGTGAGTCACTAGCAATCCCACCCCTTGTCACTTGTTTAAAAGTTCAACTATTGTGTGAATTCCAGGCAACCTCTTGACTTCCCCAACTGCTTGGTCTTCTTCCTTGGACTCCACCATCTTACCTTTCCCAGCATTCTTTCTGCTACTCTAAATTTTAATTAATATAATTCCATGTCTGTCTTTCTATCATTCTTCATCTCTTTCTTCTCTCTTCTGTCGCATCTTGTTTGTTTGTTTGTTTGCTCGCTTTAATACATCTCTCTTCTTCTGGGAGGCTTGAGTCCAAAGCTGTCAGTTATCTATTGTTCTGTTTCCCGTTAGTTAATCTCTGACCCTTCATAAATTAAATTTGACAAAGTCCCTTGATTAACAAAGGAAACGCACAAGTCACAGTAAAAGGGGCACACAAAACACAAATATACTTGGGAACTTTTCTATTCATAACGCTGCTTTTATAAAAGACCCAGGAGAAATGGAGTATAACCAGAAGGGTGTTGAGTTACTCTGAAACACAAGTGTAAACTTTATTTACAAGTAATATATGTCTTTAACAGATAAATTATTGAAAATGGAAATTGTCTTCTCTATACAAAGTAAGTACTCAGTGAATTCTTGATGGAGTAGGAAATGTGTTGGGGCTTTAGAGTAGGGCAGAATTCTGTTTGATTGCCAAGTATGGGAGAAAATTAAACCCAAATGACTGGCACTTAAGAATCAGCACCTGGAAGAAGCTCAATTCTTCCTATCACTGAAATACCCTATAGAAATAGGAAACTTCGTGTGCATTTCTACATATGGTCAAACAGTGGGCCCATCTAGGATGTCTCTGTAAACCAATTATTGTTCAAATAATTTACATTCAGGTTCTTACATTTGGCTTTCTCATTTATTTTAAGCAATTGGATAAAATACCTATATGATAGTACTAGATGATAGCAAACTAATTATAATTACCAGAGACATAAGAATCTCTAATGATTTTGAGTTTAACTAAGGTTATTTCTCTTTATGTTGAACTATGATAGGAGACAAGACAGAAAAGAGCTTCTGAAGCATTTTGGGAGAAGTTTACATACTTAGATTTTTTTTTACCACTTTCGGAAAATGAAAACCAGTCAGAGTTAAGAGGGTGATTGTTTTAATGTTTCAAATCCAGGCTTGACAACATTTCCTATAAAAGGAACTAAAATGAAGAGCCTTACAAATTTTGCACCACCCTTCCTAGAAAATGTTTCTCTGAGGCATTTTCTACAGAAGAGAGAGACTCTTGAATTCTCATTGTAAAAATCCAGAGGAGCTTGAAGACGGCGAAGCAAACAGGAAACAGCATTTAATTTGTGGGAAAGCTCAGGGAATAAAAGCAAATTTCTGAAAATGTATCTCCCCCTGAAGACTTTTAAAACACAATGATGGTGGGAAAAGCAATGATAATAAAAAAGCTGGCTTAGAGATGGGTTAATGAGAATGTGCTGTGCCACGGAGCCCACTGGGTGTGTGTTGAATTTCTAGGCTTTAGTCTATCTTTCCGCAGAAGTTCTCCCTTAAACAAATGCCCCCGCCCTGAATACTCTCTCTCATGCCATTTAAAATAAGTTCAGCAGCCACTAGAAGTTAGTTAGCCTAGAATAGAAGACATCTAGAAGGATTTTGACTCCTAGGACATTTGAGACACACATAAAGAATTTGGAAAAGCTTTGAGCAGACATGACAGAATAGAGGTAATTTTCTTCCAAAAAAGGCAATTTAGGGATGGGGAGGTGAGGGATAGGGATGGGAGGGTGAGAGCAGGGGTGGGGGCGGGAAGGATGCACTCGTGGTGGGAGAGAGAGGAGACTGATGCTGGGCAGTACAATGTGTGGAACTTAGTTGTTTCTTCAAATTCTTAAGTGGGATTTGTAAACTGTAAAGGCACAAACCCCATTTTTAACAAAAGTGAGCAGGACTCCCTATCTGGTTGAGAAAACAGGGTGACTAAACATTATGAGAACTCTTCGAAATAATAATTTCCATTTATGCATAAGAACCATATGATAGGAACTATGATATATGCTCAATATTAATTCTCATTCTTCAAAAAACTGTTAGGGCTGGTTGTGGTGGTACATTCCTGTAATCCTAGCACTTTGGGAGGCTGAGGTGGGAGGATTGCTTGAGGCCAGGAGTTTGAGACCAGCCTGAGGAAGAGTGAGACCCTGTCTCTACAAAAAAAATAGAGAAATTAGCCAGGCGTGGCAGTGCACACCTGTAGTCCCAGCTACTCGGGAGGCTGAGGCAAGAGAATTGCTTGAGCCCAGTGGTTTGAGGTTGCTGTGAGCTATGATGACGCCACTGCACTCTAGCCCAACCACAGAACAGGAAAACAAACAAACAAAATGTAACTGCAAAACTCTGCTAGATACTATTATAAGTCCTGTATTGGACTCCAAAATCCATAATCTTAGCATGTATGCTCCTTGAATGATTAAGTTAAGCTATTTACATGATAAAGCTTACTCTGCATCCTTCTCCTGGATTTGTAGCCATAATTTTGTATCTCAAGTCTCCTTGCTGCCAGTTACCTTGGGTAGGTGTGTCCTCTTTGGGCTGTCTGCTACTTCTAGATTTATCTTTAATGCCAGAAGTACCTAGTTCCCAGGACTGGGCTTCTGCTTTGATACCTTCTGCTTTTACTGGACCCTCCTCCCTAGGGACTAAAATTGTGTCCTGAGCCCCGGGTGAGGGCCTGTGTCTCTGCTACTCCTGGACAGGCCTCCTGGATGACAACTCACTGAAAGTCTACTTCATCTTGGAGAATTGAGAGACGCCCATTTGTCTCAAAATCATTGATATTGATTGTTGTGTCATGGGATTTTGTCCAATGCTTTGTACCTCCTCAGTTAGCCAATCCAATTGTCAGGGCCTATTTGTTCTACTTTATATAATAGGTAGGTCTGGAATTGTTAGTTGTGGCATTTCCAGTAGTGGTACTACAAGGACAGGTATCTTGCTGTATGTCGTTTGTGTAGCCATATCTGTGCATTTATCTGATGGGTTACAAATTATATGATTATAAAGTACTTTCTTCACATTATAGTTAGGGATATATATATAAATAATTATATATACATTAGGGATATATATTTAAATTTTTAATGATACGTGTAAATAAATTTGACTTTCATTTCAGAATAATAAAAGAGTGCTAAGAATTATGTGATGAAACAGGCATTGCTAGGGTTGAGACCACTGGGTGGTGAAAATGTGTAAAACTTTTAAAAAGACTTTAATTCAGATTCTGGATCAAGGTGAGGAATGTGATTGGGAGCAAATTACTCTGTGAGTCTCAATTTATCTATAAAGTGGGGATAGTAATTAGAACCTACTTCAGGGCTGTTACGAATATTAAATGTTAGCAAATGGAGAACTCTCCTACTTCATACTATAGCAAATGCTACTAGCTATTAGTATACTGTTAGCTATTAGTATTGGTAATACTGTTAGCTATTATGATCATTACTAAAACGGAGATGACATACACCTCATAAGGTTATTAAGTATTAAGCAAGATGCTATACAAAATGCCTAGTTAGTAGGTGTCCAGTAAATATCACATTTAATTGAATCTAAGATGTCCTATTATTTCAGTTATCTCCAAGAAAGGAAAAAATGCTTCCAATTATACTATTGTTATAGACAGTAAGGCAGATACCAATTTCAAATGTGATACAATGTGAAAATTTTTGCATTAAAATCAACAAAATACTTTTTTTTCTTTTCTTTCCTACTATATTAACAACTGGTGAGGAGTCTCTACTCCCCAGAATCTGAAATTCTCTTTTCCTATTCTTTTTCCTTCTACCAAGACCCTAGGGTCTCTTACTTGGCTACCAGGGTTAACCTCAAGTACTTTAAGTTCTATCACTTTTTATCACAGACTCCCTTTTGTTTCCTCATCTCAGTGTGAATTCAACAGCTCAGCATCCTGATCCTTATTATATTAAAACAAGGTAAATGAATATAAAAAACAAAATGAAACAAGAACTTCTTCCTAGTTACCAAAGGCCTTCAACCAAATATTTAGGTTCGGTACCATTTAGTGATGCATATTATGCATGCCATTAGAATTAATGGCATGGTGATCTGACTAGGCACTTCATGTGAACAAGGGACTAACAAAGACTGGGAAAAAATTCACAAACTTCAGATAAGAAATGGCAGGATTTGCTGGGAACAATTTTGTGTAATGTCAAAGGTAGTAGAGAGGTCAAACAGAATGAAGGTGGAGAACAGAGGACTTTCCTACAAAATGATTTCGCAGGAGAGTTCATCAAATGTTGAGATATTTTCTCAGTCTCACTTACTAAGTATGAAGGTTGCTAACATATTGATAGCTGGCCTATTATTTGGATAAGCAAAACTAAATGAACAACATAAAATTTTCAGAAAAAAATAATAGTGAAACAGAAAGCGAACATACAAATTTTTGGTCATTGTGTTTATTTCACTTAGGACACTCAATGAACATTAACTAGGGCACTTAAAAGTCAATTCAATTATGAATCTCTTTAATCCTTCATCAATTATTTGGAGTGTTCTAGTCTCGAATACACCCCTTTCCTCTACAAACTTCTGAAAGAGATGAACACCTCCACCTACACCAAAATAATGTGCTTTGCTGGCCAAAAGTACTCGTCCATTTTTACCTAATAGTCTAAGGAATGTTTGGTGCAAAGTATTGTAATAATCCGGATTGTAAATGGTTTCTGAGGTGAGAATGAGATCATATTTTACAAAGGGTTTTTCACTGCTTAGTACAAGCTTACAAAACTCAGACCACTCCCCAGAAAAGAACTGGCATTTATATAGTTCTTGTACTCCCTTTGATTCCCTGCATCTTTTCACATCTGGTTCGTTTACATCATTTTCTTCGTCTTCCAATGTGGAGTTAGCTACTACATTAGGTAAAGTTACTTCATCAATCACCATACTATTATAATCTTGGAAATGAATTTCATCGGCCCCTCCCTTCAATGCAATTATCCCCAGCAACCCTGATCCACAGCCAAGATCCAACACTTTTTTCCCAGCAAATTTCACTTTGGCCTTTGTGAAATAAGCTAGGAGGTCAAAGGTACATTCCCAGATTTTTAAGCCTCCTTCATAAACACCTGTAATCAGATCAGTGTGAGAAGAAAAGCTTTTTGAAACTATATTTTCTCCAGGGAAGTTGTCTTTCAACAAGATGGTTTTAACTGCTAGTAAGTTAACATGCTGGAGACCTGGTAATGTTTCTATGACCTTATTTTCTAACACTTTCTTTAAATCTTTAGGCACAGCATGCTCTTTGGCAATTCTCAAGCAGGGCTGTTCTTCATGTGCGTCTAAGTGACTTGAACTGATAGTTGCACTGAGTGGACTGTCTGTGTCTTGAGAAGAAGCTGCATTTTCCACTGACTTATGTTCCCACGAGTGATCCTGAGGCAAGTCAAATTGTTCTATAGAACATTTTCTGTCCCTCTGTTCTCCTTTTTGACTTTCTAAGACCGACAGCTCCTTTGAGGAATGCAGCATCAAAGCTCCATCTCCAAGGGGTGTTAATTCATTTTCCAGATGGTCTTCTATAGTAAAATTAAATTGAAAGGTCATTTTCTTATTAAATGTCCACAATCCTTAAATTTATAGAAATATTCTTCAACTTCTGGATAGAATTTGATGACACAGATAAACCTGCCTCAATTGTTCAATTAGCGTCGTCGGGGCCACTTTCCCTTTAGCTCCTTATACACTGTAACAAATACTTAGAGATGTTTCCAACTGAGTTTGGAAGGTCTTTGCTCTTCTTCGATTTAGCCCTGGAGAGAAAAAAAAAAGAAAGAAAATGATGACTAAAGCAAAATGTTACAATTTTACTAAAATTTAATATGAAACAGCCTGCCTTCCCCCCAATACAGTTGCCTTTTCTCCCATCGAAGTACTAACCAGGCCTGACTTAGCTTCCAAGATCAGATGAGATCAGGCGCGTTTAGGGTGGTACGGCCATAGACAGGCTACCTTTTCTAAAAAAGCTGTAGGGGGGGAGAGAGAGGTAAGAGATTTGGAAACACACACACACACACACACACACACACACACACACACAACTTGGAGGTTCAAAAGGTGGAGTAGAAAATAAACTATTAAAACAAACGAGAACAACAGCAGCAGCCACCACCACCAGAACAAACATAAAGTCAAAGATTTTCAGACAGGACAGCCTAGCTACTTGGTATCTTTCAGCTGTCCTGACTGCGCCCAAACATAGTCACCCACTAAACTTCCAGAATCTCTTCACTTCTGTCTTTTACTGTCTCAAATAACAGAAGTTCAAGATTTTATTTTGGTAAATGAGCATCCCTTTGAAAACATGCACAGGTATGGATGGGCTGGTGTGTGTAAATTCAACCAAAAGATGAATTTCACTACAGACATTTACACCAGACCAGGAGCCTTAAGGTACGTTAGTGGGACAACTGGGGAGTAATCAGCAAAGACTAATTAGGTGGCAGGACAAATACAAAATAAGGGCACTGCATTCACCATCTGGAAAGGCCTGTAGAAAATGGAAACAACTTTATCGAGAATCTTTTCTGTATCTACTGTGCTCGACACTTTATACCATCTGCTTCAATTTGCACAATTCTGGCAAGTGGGATTTTTATTCCCCTTCCACAAGCTGTACAAAGAGGGCGACGACGGTTAAGCAGGTAGGAATGTGCCTAGTGTCTACCCCAACACGCTGCAGGGCTCGCAGTTATTTCCGGCTGCAGGTCCCAGGTCAAACCTAACCCCAGAAGTGCAATCTAAAAACCCCACGGGTAGCAAACCTAGGGACTTCCGGCTCTCACCTCCCCATCTCAATGTAATGTTTACTACGATCCACACCTGGAGATGCTCGCCGGCTGAAAAGTCTTGGGATCACTCAGCTGAGCAACCCGGCGTCCGGACGCTTCCTCCGCACCAGTGAGTCGAGTCTTCCGAGGGCCAGACAAGCCCTGCTTCCTTCCTGGCCGTGAGCGAACAGGGCTCACCAAGGAACCCAGCTCGCGTCCTCTCTATGGTCTGTAGCCGACGGAGAGCTCGCAAGGGCTGCCGGGACGATGGGAGTTTCCGGTCTCGGCTTGGCGGGAGTAGTTTGAAGCTGGGCTCTTCGGAGAGACCATGTCTCAGGAGCGCGTTGTGCCGGCGAGTGCGGTTCCCCTGGAAGAATTAAGTAGCTGGCCAGAGGAGCTATGCCGTCGGGAACTGCCGTCCGTTCTGCCCCGGCTCCTTATATCCTTGTTTGTCACTTCCATCTAGAGAAGGGTGTGGGGCGGCTCGCGAACCTTTCTCCTCCGTCTACTCAAACCCACCGCCAGGCCGTGTTTCGTTGCTGCGGCCTGAACTCTCTCTTTGTTGATGAGTGGGATGAACAGTGAGGGAATGGAGGGTGAGCGAGAACCGGGGCAAATCGAAGGCTTTGTTTCTGGAAGGGTTCGCAGACGTGTTTTGACCTAAGGTTTTGGGAGTGGATGTGGCGTTTTCTTCCGTTGCTCTGCGTCTTTAAGTTTTTCTGTACTCGTGACACTGACGTGTATGTAAATACTTTGCATGGAGACAGTGGGGGAGGCCAGGACTCAGGCCTGAGCTTAAGGCTATCTCTGGCCCTTAAAAGATGGGTGAAATAAAGCGAGATACTCTGAGCTTTTATCACCTGTAAGACGGGTGGTGAATATGAATACTACCTTTCTCAGCATTTTAAGAATTGAACGATGTAGTTCTGTGATGTCAAATCTTTGGAAGATGTTCAGTAAATAAAACTGTTTTCCCCCCTTCCCTTCTCGGACCTCCTTTTTTTTATTTTTAGAAAGAGTTGCTTCTAACTGTTGCATTTCATCTGCAGGATTTGTGGTGTTTAATGCCTCTGTTGTTCAGGTGCAGACGATTCTTTATTAGTCTCGTGCCTTTGTGGTTGTAAACGTGCCTGGAATCCTCGCCCTTCATGTTAAAGTGTGTGTGTGTGTATGTGTATAAATTTATGTCTTTAAACTCACCTTCAACATAAAACTACCCTTAAAAGAAAAAAATGACCTTCACTTGAAAAAGTTTTGACGCTGCACAAATAATTTTTCACAGCTAAAGCCTATCATAACTAAATATTACCATTGCATGGAAGTCATTCACCTGGTCATTAGCAAAATTCAGAAGGTACCAAAGCCCTTTTATAGTTTTTGTGTAGATAGGGAATTGCTGTTTTCAGGGAGTTTCAACTTGGAAACAAATAACCATTTCCTACTCAAAAACATTTGCTGGGTACATAATGTGTATCTGTATTTAATGTGTATCTGGCATGGTGATAGGATTTGGGGGAGCAAAGATGAAGAACATGATTCCTCTTCCTCTCAAGCTTATAGGGGCACTTCATTAAATTGAAAGTCAACATTCCCACCTAGCTTTGCATCTCAAACTTGACTCAACCCAAACCTGTTCTTCCTCTAGTTTTCTTCATCAAAGTAAATGATTTTACAAACCAAAACCTTTAATCCTCTTTCTCTCTCTCTCCCACCCAATCAGTAAGTTTAATTGTTTCTGACTCCACTTGAACCAATCCACTTATCACCATCCCCGTTGCTACCACTCTGATTCCCAACCCCTAACACCCTTCACCTGGACTATCAATAACTTCCTTCTGGTCATGTCCTCTAGTAATCCCATTCTTCAAAAAAAGTTCAGAGGGAAAACCATAGATCATGTCACTTCCCTTTTTAAAGCAGTGGCTTCTCAACAAATTAGGAATAAAATCCAAATTTACCTTCAAAGCTCCCACACCCTTCTCTCATACCTAGCTAACTATGTTCTATCCACACATACATCAGGCTCACCTACCTCAGGATCTTTGCTCAGTCTAAGTTGATCTCCCAACCTTTTGTACATCTTATTTAGGTCTCAGCTCAAATATCACCTCCTTAGAGGGACCTTTTTAGAGCCCTCAATCTTAGGTAGTTGCCCCAAACCCAGTCTGTTACACTTTTATCATATTGTCTTGTTTAGTTTTCTAAAGAGCATTTTATTGTTAACAGAAATTATCTAATTTGCTTTATTTTCCACTTTTCCACATTATACTGTAAAGTACATAAAGGCAGGAGCTTGATTTTCTCACTGCGTTATCTTCAGCACCTATAACAATGCCTGGCACATAGCATTCAGTAGAGAGCTAAAAATATTTCATGTTTTAAAAATGCTTGGAAGTGTCATTAGACAATATTTTTTTCGGCTTATGGTGGTTTATCTTCACTATTTTGAACAAATGTAGGAAAAGGTTGCAATAAATCCACAATCCCATCCCCCACTTCTTTTCATGTTTTGTGTTTTATGTATTATTTTTCCAGTCCTTACCTGCATGTCTATGTAATCATAACTTATGGTTAATTTTGGAATAGATAGAATTTTTTGAGCTTTACTGAAATTTTTCCATAAAGCAAATTCTACCCCACTGAACAAATGGTTTAAGGATTACATGTCATTTTGATTGCTGCTGAATAATACCTTTCTCAAATATATTTTTGTGTAGATAGGGAATTGCTGTCTTCAAAAATATATATGCAAAATAAGATTTCAGAAGAGGAATCAATCCATAGGGTGGTAGAATGAGTTATTCATTTTTCTTATGGACGTATTTGATGATTCTTATATTTTTACAGTAAAACTTTTCTAACAATTACTCTTGATGGTGTATAAGTGTGTAGTTTATAATGTGGTTACTGTTAACTTTTGGACATGGGATAATTTATTGTCACGTATTTGTAAGCTCCTGCTATGTGCAGAAGAATTTCAGTCTGATGAGGTTGGTAAGATAGGTATGCAGGTAACATGAAAATAAGATAAAAGGTGATGAGTGACTGAAGACATACATATAAAGTACTGTAGAAATGATGAGAAGTTTCTTTCCTGTAGCAGAAACCAGAAGTCCATCGACTATTATAGCACTGTTTCTCATCTGTCAAAAATATTTCATGACTATACATGGTTTAAAAAGGCGAGTTTGTCCTGAGCAATTTTGAAAATATTTCCTTACAGTATTTTCATAATACTGTTTGTTTACCTAATAAATGTTAAGTTTTTAAAAGCAAAATTAGGCCAGTAATTTGAGTTTAATTTCAAATTCTTATGGATCACTGCTTAAATTTCGAGTTGAGTCATTTTTTAATTTATTCTCAGTAATGAATATTCTATTACTATGATACAAATATCTTCTTTAATTATCTTACTCTTTGTATCAGCATTCTGACAGTTGGATTGAGCATATTCGTAAGTAAAATTATTTTAATTGCATGATTTACTTTGATGTCATTGAAGTCTGAGTCCCACATACTTCAATGGATATGACCTTACAGTTTTGTATTCCCTTCTGATTTAATCATTTTCTATGTTATAGCCTCCGTAACCTTCAGTTACTTAAAATGTCCAAATTCCTTCAAATTACAGTGCTTAAAGTTTTAAATTCCTTTTTAGGTAGATACCAAAAGGGTCCTGTTGATGATTTATGTATAAGCACATTGTAAATTATAAATGTTAAATTGTGGTTAGACCTATGTGAAACATAATTTGCAGTCTACTTAATAACCTTAAGCCTCTAACATGTTTTCTGTCATTTAGAAAATATTTCCTAATTGCCAAAAGCTCATTGTCTAAGTGATAACAAATTTGTCATTTAGAGAAAGTTGACGTTCTCATTTTCGTCTTCATTGGTGTTACTTGATGAGATTTACTCTTTTGGTCAGGAGAGGATATTGAGAGTAAGACTAGACTGCTCAGTTTATTCATACTTCGATTTAGCTTGTTCTATTTACATTTCATTTGGTTGTACAATATTCATAATTTTGAATCTATGTTGCCTGTTGGGGTCTAATTTCTTTTAAGTAACAATTTTTTATCTTGAGTATAAAAGTTGTTCATTGTAGAAAAATTGAAACATGCAGAAAAAGATTATAAAATATCCACTAATCTGAAATGGTTAAGATATTGATGAGAATAGCTTTATTTTCATTCCTTTTTTTGTTTTTTAAAAAACTTTCTTCTTGTTTTCTTATTTTGTTTTCCTATGCTATTTTTAATCCTGTGACAGATTAGAGAATAGATTCCTATACATTCCTGCCAGCCTGTCTATCATTCTTTGTATGTATATGTTTATGTGTATTAAAATTGGAATTATACTATCTTGGAATCTTTTTGTCATGTTTTAAAATATCATTTTAATGAAGGTGGATCTTATTCAATAGATGTACCCGCATCCATTTAACTGGTTGTCAATTTTTGGATATTTAGGTTGTCTCTCCTCCCTCCCTTCCTCCCTCCCTTCCTTCCTTCCTTCCTTCCTTCCTTTCCTTTTTTTTCTATTATAGATAATTTTTGCTATTAGATAATAGTTTTTCTACATAGAATAAAGCATTTTGAAACCATACAAATCTTTAGTTTGGTAGTTTTCTTGCATTTGGTAAAGGGCAATGGCCTTTGTTGACTGACATTTAATATTTTTAAAAAATATATCACTATTTTGCTTTATAGAAATTTTGAAGATTATTGTAGAAATGTTTTTACCTCATATGAACTACTTGACATTGGAACAGACTTTCTTTTCACAAGCATTACCAAAGGTATAGTACTGTTACCTTGATTTACATTTTATAAAGGTTGCTAAAATCTAGCCTTAGTTTTAAATAATTTATTTAAATAATTTATTCTTAATGTGGCTGTGTTTTTCTAATGTATCAAACATCCGAAATAAAAGTAGTAGTAAAAAAAAGATCTCATGTAAGAATATGGTGGTGTTAACGTGATCATTAAGTGATTAAAAACATTTTCAGATTGTGTAGATCCTTTACCAATTGAATTTAAATTATTTGTAGTTAATTTTGAATACTCTTGTGTTTGAAAACTATTAAATGAAACTTCGGATAGGTGATAAAGTTAGGTAAGCCTTATTTTATCTTCTCTGTAGTGTTTGTCAATACTTGTTATATTTCAGTGTCTGGAAAAATGGAGCTAAAATTTATTAAAGAAGTCTTAGAATTAAAAAAGCTGAAATATTGGTAAAATCAAGTAACTAAGAAAACACTAAATTCACAGACTGCATTGTTACTTTTTAGATATATAGTATACTTTTTCTCTGAAAAGGACAGTCATACTTTTTTCAATGGTGGGAACTAAAGTTATTTTGGTACCAAAATGAAACAGATTTATTTGTGATAACTTCTTCTCTTATTGAAATGGATATCTAAATTTAGCTTTTAAACAGATAATCATCAAAATTTTCTTTTCCTCATAGTCACTTGATTATTCTCCATTGAAAAGTTTCTTAGAATTTGTTGTTGTCCACCAGAAAAAGATCCAGGACTTACGCAGATGAAAACAGGATGTTGAGCATTACCAGGCTTATGGGAAACAATATCCTCTTTACATAGTGATGTCGACTGTGTTGTTATTCTTATAACGTTTAGCCCATTTAAATTGTTTAGAAAGATCTGAGTATTAAGATCTTAGGATGGCTAACTTTTAACAGATAAAAGGCTTAGTTGTGAGGTCACATATTGTACCCCTAATCCAGGAAGTGTATCTTGGTCACAAAGGGGAACTGATTAGAATGTAAATGAATAGATTCAGTACAAATTAATTACTACTTCTAGAAAACACCCTTATAAATGCCCATATGAATATTGATTGGTCAAGACGGTCATCTTTTATCATGCAAAAAGTAGTACTTATATTGGTTGCATTCCCCCAAAATGAAGTTTGAGTTTTTTTTTTTTAAATTAATGCTATTAAATAGATTCAAACCACAGAAATGGAAAATAAATCAATTTCTGTCTGAGGCTTTTTAAAATTTTTTTTTTTAAATTTTTGAGTGATCTTCAATGGTAAGAGGCTTTTTAAAAAAGGGATTGTATTGTAGAAATACTTTTTATATATGCTTTCTACTTAATTAGGTATAATTGTTAGGCTAGACAATATCCTATGGGTGTTACTAAATGCAAAATCAAATCATCCTATTGTGTTCTTTTCTTTAAAGATTTATTTCCTAGTGATTTTTATTATTCCTATTTATAACCCGATTTGTTTTCACAGACTGTGAAATTATTTGATGACATGATGTATGAATTAACCAGTCAAGCCAGGGGACTTTCAAGCCAAAATTTAGAAATCCAGACCACTCTAAGGAATATTTTACAAGTAAGTCAAATGTATTAGAAAGGAGGAGAGAGAAGGAGCTTAAAAGTGTGAGAATTTTTATACTGTTATTGATTCGTCATGTATTCTTTATGTAATGCCCTAGTGCTGGAATTAAATTTATAGATTTAAAGATATAAATACAGAAACATGAATTCTGAATTTTTTATACAATTTCATGCTGAGTAAATATCTAAACTCTTATAAGAAAACAAATCATGAAGATAGCATGCCCTACCTATAATTTCAAGGCATATGTGTATAACACCTGCCACGTGCTTTGAAGTTTGGGTTAGGATTCCAAACGACTAGATAGTTGTTTCAATATTTGTAGTTCTGATAGACCGAAGTTCTGTGAAAAGAAGAACAAGGTGTCTGTTTTGTTCACCACTGTATCCCTAGCATCCAGCATACTGTCTGAAACCTTTTCAGTGCACAAAAAATATGTTCTGAATGAAACTTCTTTCCTTATTTCCAGACAATGGTGCAGCTCTTAGGAGCTCTTACAGGATGCGTTCAGCATGTCTGTGCCACACAGGAATCTATCATTCTAGAAACTATTCATAGTCTCCCCTCCTCAGTCCTTCATATAATCAAAAGTACATTTGTACATTGTAAGGTGAGTAAAGGTCTAAGTATTCTCTCAATGGCATAGAATCAAGGGCAAAAAAAGCTGAGTAAAGTAGTGTTTGTGCAAGATTTTACATTTGAGCCTGTATTATTGGAATA